CTCCCGGGGTGCGTGCAGTGGCGGTTGCCCCCCCCCCACACACCCCTTAGGACAAGCCACATTCCATTTCCCATTCCAGCTGTGCAGTGCTTGTGCCTGCCTCTGCCCCTGCCCCAGCCTCAGTCCCTCCCTCACTGCAGGGGCCTCGATCTGCCCTCCCCACTCCCCTTCCCCTCCTCCCAACAGACTTAAAAGCTGGATGCTGCTCTCCAAGCTGCCCAGCTGCATATTGGAATCAGATTGATATCAGCCAATATGGCTCATTAAAAATCAGTCACTGGTATCAGCCCCCAAAAAATATTGGTGCACCCCTAAAAATTGTGGGGGCAGGAAACTTGCTTCAAATATCTGTTGTATATTCAACTTGATCCCTATACAAACACAATCATTATTATACATCTGTCACCCTAGTGTACTAGCTTAAGGGGCAAATTGCACAACCAAGGCTACCCTCCAGTTAATCTTCCATCATATCTTACTATTACATGTAGCAGCCAGACTAATGTTAACATGAGTAACAGGTAACAAAACTGGAGTGATGCCAGTCTGACTATTGTAAGAGAAAAGCCAAGGGGGTTCCTGTAATTTTAAGAGAATGCAGCAAGCCAACCTGGCTATGTTGGAATATAGCAGCAGGAGCACAAGCTAGCCCTTAATTAAAAGGGGAAACTCCCATGTGTGGCTGAATGGCAGAAAGGGGGCTTTGAGGAATATAAGCCCCGGGCCTGAGCCAGAGCAGGGAGTCAGACCCTACATGCTCCCCAGGGAAGCTGACTGCAGGCAGCAAGCCTTTAAGACACCCACATGACAGTGAGAGTGAGCCTAGCACAGGGAAGTGTAGCTTGTAGTAGGTACTGACCCAGGGCAGGGAACGTGGTGGAAGCAGTTCACTTATATTTCTGTTATACTGATGTTTTTGTTTTAGATCAGAGGACTGGATAGTGGCTGGAGGGAAGGAGAGAAGGCCACACAGGGCTGTCTGGGACATGCTCCAGATTTTCAGCCCTTTCCAGGGCAGGCTCCAGAGGCCAAAGTCCTAAGCCCCAACAGGGAGATAGGGGCAGCCTCCAACCAAGTGGGACGGGGGGCAGACTCCAGCCAAGAGGGTCAAAGGCTGCACAGCAGGAAGAGCCGAGGGCCCAAGCAGACCAAGACAAGCCAAGGGTCTGACAAGACAGACTCAGAAGCTGGGCCAGAGGAAATGGGCCTAGGCTGGCAGTCAACAGTAAGAATAACCAGAGGGCTAAAGCCTGTATAAACTAATGTGTGGATCTAGCGTAACATCTGCTAGGAATGGGTGTAGCTGCAGGGATGGAAGGATGCAACAAATAGCTCTTAAGGTGACTACTGTCCTAAAGCACTGACAGGGCTGAGGAGGGCCCCACTTACGACCTGAAGAACAGGACTGGGGGGTCAGCTGGGTATGGGAGAGACCCGCTGGCCAAGGCAGGCTAGGGCTTGCTCAGGGATTCTGAGGAAGCCTCCTTTCTACAACAGAAAATAATTCCATAAAGGCATGGCAAGCAAGAGGAACAGGGAGGGTACCCCAGGGGAATGGCATCATGACCACCCCTGGGGAATGGTCCTGTCACATTCAGATCAAATGGGGTAGAAGCCATGTTGCCACCAGAGAGTGGTTACGGCCACCCCTGGGGTATACTATCCCTAACCCGACTATCACTGAGAACTGTAAAAAGCTTGGGAGAAAGAGCTATGGTAGAACATGAACAACAATGACCACACAGCACTAAAGGAGCTGGACCAAGAGATGACCATTCTATTTGCATCACAAGCTCAGACAATAAAATTATTCTCATTTTTCCAGGTTTCTTGGTTTTCTTTACTCTGAAGGACTCAGGCTTGAACTTAAGCTTTCCAGACTTACCTGTCATTGGAACTAGTGTAGCTCTGCCTGGACCCATCACCTGAACAATCTTTAAAAACAACTAAACCAGTGATTACGTCTATCCATGATGGAAACAAAGTCCATGCTTATGACACTTACAGAAGCCGTTTGACAGGCTTCAAAAGATTAAAAAAGCAACATGACTGAACTAGCAAAAATATATATAGTGAAAAATCAGCAGTTTCTACCAGTTGTTTCCTTTCTTAAACAAAACTGACAATGAAAATAAAGTAACTTAAGAAAAGCTGATTTCACACTTAAGACTTTTTACTTCACAAAGAAAACAGCTGTCTACAAATATAAGTTGAAACCTGCTTCTAACGTGATATCCCCAAACAATGTGGATAGGCAAAAGCAAAGGCTCTGATGCACAAACATCAGAAAGCCACTCCGTTGTGTCACTCACTGACAAGGTGATCTAGAACCTATGAGGCTTTTGCCAAAACTACTGAAAGCGTGGAGCTAAGTTGAGGCCTGCAAAAATTACGTGCTTACTAAAACATGGGTGGAGGCAGACCTTAGTTATTTGAAACAAGACATCTGCTATGTTGTTGGTGGAAAAATAAACCTATGTGACTGCAGAAGAGCTAATGAAGCTGGTGAGTTTTAGCATTGTATACTTTCTGATGCACTGAATTATTTCAATGTGTATTTTGTTTATAGGGCAATTGTGAGTTATTTGATGACTCTACATTAGCTTGCATCTAGAAAAGACAGAACACAAACTGGTCTTGGATCTAGATACACTCTAGAAACAACAGAAACAAAGTATTCTAGATATTGTTTTAGGTTAAATGCTCATATTCAAGAGTAGAATAGAAAATAATAGACTTCAAGATGTGGTAAAGAATGCCAATAGTTCATACAGAAACCATGTTATTAATTCCATATCAAGGACGTGTCTTTATTCAGGGGCAAAATAATATGTAAAGTGTAACATGATCTGGAGTATTAGAGATGATCAAAATATTTCTTAAAAGGTGCAGTCCTCTATCCTCTTTTTCTTTTCTTTCCCCATTCTCTTCCTCTTAACCCCTCCCTCAAGTCTCATTCACTCCAACCCAGATAACAACAGTAAATGAAGTGATAGAGAAGTAACTGAATTAATGAGACATGCCCTCATAACCACGGTCACTTCACTTTGTAAGGTGTCTCTTGCTCTCCCTATCTCTCCCTCCACTCTTTATGTATATTTTTGTCTTGTTTTCAGGACAGACACCATGCTCCTCGTTTTTGAGCAGCACCCAGAACAGAGTCCTGATCCTGTATTAGGCCATTTGGGTGTCACTACCATGTTCACTTATCTGCATAACAACAGAAAGTGGAGGAATGAGGCAAGATGCAGGGATACCCAATAGGAGTTGAGTACTATAGTCTCTTTCAACTCACTGTTTAAGTATATACTAAAAAAAGTTCCTTCTAAAGGCAAAGTATCTCTACATACTAAATGAAGGTCTGAAAACATCATGAAAAATTTAGCTGCTCCACAGCCAAGCAATAGAAAATACCAGTCTGCAGGACTAGTGCATGGTTTGCTGTATGAGGTTTTAACCAGTCATCTGTTCACACGCTCTATTTGTTATAAATTAAACCTATAGAAACCATCAGAAAGTCTTGTTTTAATTGACTATTAATTATTTCACAGCCTATAGATGGGGTAAGGGAAGATTTTCGTTTACATTTTACTGCTTACATTTTTTGTGCCTACAATGCAAGCAATGCAAAGGGAAGTCAACTCTTGGTTTTAACAGGTCCTGTGAGACTTTCAAACTACCTTTATAACTACATACTATGAACTCCTTATGGCACATTAGCATGCTCTGCAAGTTCATTTTTCAGTTGACAACACTTTATTCTCAGTCTGCTTTTCTTTGTACACAGCAAGACAGTTACTGAATTAAATCAACTGAGAACCCTTTCACCCACTGATCATTTTATGTATGTAATTAAAATTTAAAAAGCAGGAAGTTCTTTTGCATAATATTTTCATAAGAATGTCCAACTTGGCAAGAAAAGAGGAAATAAGCATGGAAATGTATTTAATTCAAGAGGATGACATTCAATTCAGGGGTTTCAAGACCCCCAAAGATTCAAAATAGAACTAGGCATTTATTAGGACTGTGCAGAACAACTGTGTTTCGATTCAGTTTCGGATACAGTTATTTCGGATGACAGTGATTCGTTTCAATGTTTCAGACCACTCTCCTCTTTTGTTTCAGCCAAATCCATTTAAAATGGGTTGCAAGCTTCACACAGCTCTACTGCCCAGCTGGGCAGGGTGCAGGATGGGGCTGTGGGTGGCTCATCCGGGGGAGGGCCCTGCCCTCCACACAGGCTAGGAGACCCCCCGCGCAGATCTCTGATCCCTGCACGCAAGCCCCAGTGACATGGGGCTGGGCAGGGCAGGCAGCAGTGGCAAGGAGACCCCAGTGCAGATCTCTGTTCCCTGTGGAGCCAGGTCGCACAGCAGGATCCAGCACTGCCCTGTCATGCGGCCTGGCTCCACAGGAAGCAGAGATCTGCGCCGGGGTCTCCTTGCCGCCGCTGCCCGCCCTATGCAGCCCCACATCACCAGTCCCGAGCTGCCCTCCCAGGCTGTGTGCTCCCCCTACCCACCCAGCCTGTACAAGGCCTACCCCTGCTCCAGCCACACACTCCCTCTCACCACTGTGGCATTGGGGCAGATTGAGGACCCAGCAGTCAGGGAGGGAACGGGGCACAAGTAGGAGCAGGGGTTGGGGGGAGTGGGGGACAAGAAGAGGCCTGGGGGGCACTTACCGCCCAGGCCTCCACTTGTTCCACCACCCAGCCTGACCAAGACCCCACTCTCTGCAGTCCCTGATCCTGCCTATGCCCCACTTCATCCCTCACAGCTGGGGCCTCAATCTGCCCCCACTCTGCCACAGCCCTTTCCTTCCCCCCACCCCTTCCCCCAAAGACTTACCTGCTGGGGGGTGTGCCCCGCAATAATTTTTTCTCCCTTTACCTCAATCTGTAACCCCCTTCCCTCCCCACAGGCTGACCTAGGGGATGGTGGAGGGGAAGTGGCAGTGCATGGTAAATCTTGGGTTGCTTTTTAATTCAAAAAGTGATCTCTGACTTAAAAAGGATGGAGACCACTGCTCTAGAATTAATGACCTGCACAGAGTATCTCAACTCAAGTGATAGATCTGTTTTAGCAAATTACCCATATGATTATCCAAACGAATGAGAACTGAAGAAAATGAAAAACAGAAAATAAACAGGTAAATAAAAAAAACATTCGTTTCCTACCTAACTACATCTCTTTCTTCAGGAACCGTAAGTAGAACTACATGGGAGCTGTGTAAAGGCTCGCAAACTACACCTGGCCTATCCCAGGGGCGGGCAATTATTTTGGGCAGAGGGCTGCTTACTGAGTTTTAGCAAGCCATCGAGGGCCACATGACAGGCATTCCAGGGCAGATAAATATTAATTTTCTAAAATTTTTAGGGGCCCCGCAGGCCGGATAGAACGTCTTGGCGGGCCACATTTTGCCCACCCCTGGCCTATCCCCATGGTGGCCAAACCTGACTACCAGGGATTACTGTAATTTCCTGGCAGGCTTTCGGTGATGGCTATAGGTGGAAAACAGGATACTGAACTGTACTGGGCACAGGCTTAATCTAGGAAAATTTCTAAAGGATAGTAAAGAAAAATCTTAAGAACATTTATTCTCTTTTCCTTTCTTCCAGGACTGAAGCGAACGGGGGGGTGAGGGGGAAGATGAGAGAAAAAGTCCTGTTGAACAGACTAAAAGGAAGTGCCTTGTTTGCCCCCAAAGAACAGAGTAAACACAGGAGCATATAAATTCCTTTTACGTACTTCAAATACACAGAGATTAAATTTAAATCATTACAAAGAACCCAGACATGAACTGCAGTTCTGCTTTTATCCCATTTACTACATAACACAACTGCTTCCCAGTCTAGCAGTGGACTTACTCATCTGTTCTTAGTAATGATCAGAAACTAGGGACATCTAACCTAAACTCGCTAGCATACAACACCCAACTGCATCTACTCCTTGCATTAGATAACCCACCACAACACAGTGCTTTGAACAGTTGATACCCTGCTCACTGCACGCTGTGCATATGGAGAATATGAGAAAATGACCTGAAGCAAATTACAAAAAAAGCTCTTACTTACAGCACCGAAGTAGGGGGCCTGATGCACAACCCCTGTGCCTTCTTCTGCTTTTACATAGTTATCTATCACCACAGTAAAAGCACCATTCTCTTTACACTAGAATACAAAATATTGAGCATTAATTTGTTTGTCAATCAGCAAAAAAATAATCTTAAAGTTCTTCTCATTATCTTAACAGATCACCTTTTAAGTCAAAACAGCTGCATTAGCTAGTATTCCTTTTTATAGTTACATTTGCAAGAGATAAATACAGTATTCCTCACTGATTCTCAACAAAGATACCAAACTTAATATTTCTATTTATACAACATCAAACGTCTAACACTAAAACACAGACTTCTTTGGCCTCTTAATAAATTTTAAGCTTGTACTTTAATTGACATCATGTAATATCTTCTGGTTAGGATACTACAAATTTATAGGATTCTATAAACCGGGAAAGAAAGCTGCACCCATTTATAAACATACTAGCAAACTGCCCGTCAAGAATGACAGGGGGTGGGCAGGGATGGAGCCCTTTTTGCAGCACTCGGTCCTCACCCCCGCACCATCCAGCACCACTACCTCCCTCGCTGCCACAGCTCTGAGTCTGGCCCTGCTTTCTGCCCCTTCCCCACTCTCCTCCGCCGCTCTAGGTCCAGCTCTACTCTCCCCACACCGCCACTCGGGGTCTAGCCCTGCTCTGCCTGCCTCCCCGACCACTTGGGGCCCGGCCCCAATATACACCCCCCACCCCCAACCGCCACTCCAGGTCCGGCTCCGCTCTACCCGCCACCTGACATCTGGCCCCGCTCTACCCCTCCCCTCCCTGCACCGTGGATGCCCAGTTACTCAAGCGGCCTGGCCATGTTCACCGCCACCACAGATTTCACCAGGAGAATCACAAATTTGGGCTGTGCAGGACAAGGAGCCAATCACCACCTGCCCTCTTGGCAGCACATGCACGGGTGCCCAAAAACATTACAGAGAGACAGACGCAGACAGACACACACTCAGACTAAGTATTTTATTATATTAGAATATAAATACATAAATAAAATAATCCTATTTAAAAATAACATTGATATACTCAACGTTACATATCTCATCCAGTGCACCAAATGTCCTGATGGAAAATACATAGGAGAGACCAAAGAACAACTGTGTACCAGACTGAATGCACACCAGACATCTATTAAAGACAAGAATACCCTATTACCATCGGGGGCACATTTCTCATAAGAGAGCAACTCTCCCTCCAGTCTCTCAGTCCTGACTCTCCCCCAGTGCTCTGGGTGACTTTGCTCTCCCTTGCAATACCCCCCACCCCATTTGTCTGTGGCTTTCCCCCACTGGTTCAGGCTGGCCTGCCTCTGCTTCGTGGAGACAGGGAGATTTGGAGTGAAAGGGGGACTTCTTTTTGGGCACGCTCCCACTGGTGCCAGGTTGAGGAGGAACAAGGGCAAGAGGGTGCTGCCTCCTGAGATGCAGCAGCATTGCCGTGGTGGTGAAGTGTTTCACCTCCTTCCTCCCCCCCCCCCCCCCTTTCTGGGTTGAGCACAGGGATCCTGCCTTATCCCCCTCCTTAGCAGGCAGAGGCACAAAAAGAGGGGAAGCTGAGCCACCTGCCCCCACAACCTCCTCTGAGGTGCCTTCTGGAGAAGGAGACCTGCCTCTAGGAGAACTTTGAGGGGTGTAGAGCACAAACTTAGATTCCTTCTCCTTCCCTGAATTTCCCTGGCTATGGCACTCAGCTCCCCTGGTTACAGATCCAGCTCTTCCTCTGGCACTGGGAAGCTCATGCTGGGAGCTGAAATTGGCATGGAGGAGACTGTCATGCTGGTGGCTATTTCTGGTGTTAGTGGAGGTGGTGCAGGAACAGGAACAGGTACTGGTCCCACCTCCTTGCTCGCACTGGCAGCAGAAGACTCATTGCTACCAGGCAAGAAGGTGCGTCTATGTTTGGGGGTGTGTAACTTGCAGCTCTTCCCCTAACCCTCTGTAGCCCCTCTCCCTCCTCTGCCAGAAGACCTGGCACCTGCCTTTCCAGCATGCTTCATAATGTTTGCTGTGCTGGAATGTGCGTGTATGTCTGTAATATACCGTGTGTGTGTGTGTGTGTGTGTGTGTGTGTGTGTGTGTGTGTGTGTGTGTGCGTGCAAAAATATTTGTGCTTTCCTGCACAGTGATGGATGAGAGACTGCCAGGGAAAACACGGCTTTCTTCTTAAAAAGTGTAGGGGGGAAAAAAATAACAAGAACAAATAAGAGGATTTTGGGGGAAGAATAAGTTGAAAGGAATGGATTGGATAAGGATAAGTAGAGGGATTCTAGGCAATGGTAGTTAGTAAGCTGTATCCAATCCCTTTACACGTTTTTGCTTCCAGACAGACAACTCACAAAAGGCAGAGAGAGGCTTCACACCGAGCCTTATATGCTGTTTCTACATCCCTCCCCCAGAGCACTGTGATTGGAAGGGAACTCAAGGAAAGAGCACAGTCTCTGGCCAGCTACAGATGTCAATATCAGAGCAGTTTTTCCCCCCACTTCTCCCCCTCCTTCCCCTTCTCAGTTTCTGTTTCCCCAAAAGACTGCCTTCCCAATCGCTGAATCTCTTCCGAATCTTTTCCAAATCAATTCAAATGCTTGAAATTGATTTGGAACTTTTAATGGGTCTCCCGGTTTGATTCATATTTGATGATTTGGCCACCGCTGAATCTTCTCTGAATCAAATCGGCAACCGAAGCTTATCACACCCCTCCCTACTGACAAGGCACTCACCCCACCCTAGTTACACTGCTGCCTCCTGCCATGCCACACATGCATGGAAGGAGGCATGACTGTACACCTTTGTGTACACTACAAAACACATGTGAATCAGGACAAAAATATTTTTGGAATCAAATTAATGGATGTTGTAGATGTTCAATTTTTAGAATATAATTTGGTATTTTTCTGGTTCTGAAATGGCAAATCCCCTTGCTGAAAGGAGTACTTCTGGGGGCACGGGGAGGAACTTATGCTGGCGAGGTCAGGGGTTAGGAGGCGGGACTTCTGGTCACAAGATGGTGATGGGGGGGTATCTGCCAAGGGGCGGGGCTACCGACGCGGCCCTCGACAGCTTGCCAAAACTTGGTAAGCAGCCGCTGCCCGAAATAATTGCCCGTCCCTGTTGTAGTTCAACCCCCTGCTCAAAGAAGGACCATCCCCAACTAGATCATTCCAGCAAAGCTTTTGTCTAGCCGGGTCCCCAAGGATGGAGAGTCCACAACTTCTCTGGGTAGCCTGTTCCAGTGTTTTACTACCTTCCTAGTGAGACAATGCTTCCTAATATCTAAGCTAAACTTCCCTTGCTGTAACTTGAAACCATTGCTCCTTGGTCTGTCATCTGCCACCACTGAGAAGAGTTTAATTCCATACTCTTTGTAACCCCCCTTCAGGTAGTTGAAGGCTGCTGTTAAATCCCCTCTCAGGTCTTCTCTTCTCCAGACTAAATAAGCCCAATTTACTCAGCCTGTCCTCAGAAGTCATGCCCTCCAGCCCCCTCACCCTTTTTGCTGCCCTCTGCTGGACTCTCTCCAATTCGTTCACATCCTTTCTGTAGTGGGGGCCCCAAAACTGGGGACAGTACTCCAGATGTGGCTTCACCAGTGCTGAATAGGGAAGAATCACTTCGCTCAGTCTGCTGGTAACGCACCTACTAATGCATCCCAGTATGCTGTTAGCCTTCTTGGTAACAAGGGCCCTGTTGGTTCATATTCAGCTTATCGTCCACTGTAACCCCCAGGTCCTTTTCTGCAGAGCTGCTGCTTAGCCAGTCAATCCCCAGCCTGTAGCGGTGCATGGTATTGTTCCGTCCTACATGCAGGACTTTGCACTTTTCCTAATTGACACTCCTGAGATTTCTTTTCTTTTGGTCCAGTCCTCCAATTTGTTGAGGTCTCTCTGACTCCCAGCCCTGCTCTTCAGCGTATCTACTACTTTCCCCAGTTTGGTACCATTTGCAAACTTGCTGAGGGTGCACTTCCATGTTCCCGGTCGTTGATGAAGATACTGAACAAAACCAGCCCCGGGACCAGAGATGTGGGTTTTCCAGAAAATTTTGAATTGGAAAATTTTCCAAAGCCCTAAATAGAGTGTGATCTGATTTAGCATGTTTATGAGACTTGTATTTAGTAAACAAAACTAAAAAAAGTACCCCCATGTTAATTTTATGTCCCAAAAGCCACAAGTATTTGAACTGAAAAATTTGATTAGGAAAAAAATCAAGTACAGCACACTTAATGTGGTTTAAATGTTATATTCAAACTCAAAGCTTTATGTGGAAAGAAATCATTTTTATTGGAATACTTGTAAAAATGTAAAGACAATGCACAATAGCATGTACTTCCCTTACATTGCTTGTTTAAATTTAAGGGAAAAAAAATGAAGGCACTGAAAACTGTTGACACACTAGTTTTAGCGCACCCAAAGAACTATGAGTGATGCGCCGTGATTGTCCACTCACCTACTTCAACAGAGTTTAGCTCTTTTCCACTGGGGTCACTGCAGCACCTCCAGTTTCACTGACACTATCTGTGGAATCACTTGCACTACTTATTAGTTCCATTTCCGAATCAGATTGAAGCCAATCTGATTCAGAACTATTTGAACCACATTCTCTTTCGCTAAAGGGTGGTTTTACCAATGATTCTATGGGCATCATCAACTGCACGTTCTTCATGAATTGTGCTTCTGACTAATTCTTCAGAAGCAAGAGATTATGAGAAACAGAAACAAGCCTAGCACTGCCTTCATTCGTTAGTCTATTCCTCTTTTTTGTCTTCATTGAGCTGAAAGCCTTCTCTGTCTAAGAGAGAATGTGATAACCGATAACTTATATGATGGGTGAATTAGCTTGTAATGTTCCTTCTGGTATTGATTTGCAGTTATGGAAAGAGCTGTGCCACTTGCAAATGTAGCTCGAGCTAATGTCTCATCTGCTTTTTCCTTGATCTTCTTTTGACATTTTGTCCACAAAGCTTGATAAAAAGCTTGACTGTCTTGAGCAGCTACTCATGGTGGATCGCATATCTGGTGACAGTGATCTTGAAAGCTAGGATCCTTGCTGCTTCTTCCCCCGGACCTGGCAGCGCAACATCTTCATTTTCCTTTTTTTGCAAATCTGCTATTTCACTTGAGTTCCAAGTTCCTGCAACAAAAGGGGGAAAAGATTTTTATTTTAGCCTATTCTAGTCTGGCCTCACCCATCAGGAGAAGAAGCGGCAGGGAACTTGCTTCCCCCCCTCCCTGCCAGAAAGAACACTGCTACTTAACTTGCTGCTCAGTTGCCCTGGGACTGCAGAGCCAAAGGGAAGTATAGTCTGGCCTGTGCCACTGGTCAGAGGACTAAGCTCACTCTGCTGGGTTGAAATAGTTAACTATTTATCTATTATGTCATTTAAAAAAAATCATTGTTAAGCCTAAGCCACTTTGGGTGCTTTGTGCAAGCAGAAAAGCAGGATACAAATTTTTTAAATACATGAATAAAAAAAATAGTCCAGAGTTGCAAGAACAACTTTTAAAATTATAATATTTTAAAACAACATAGAGGCTAGTCTATACCATGTGTCGTTTAACATATCAATTTGTTTACTTACATAGGATTCCCGAAGTAGACTCTTCTCAGATGATGTTCTTCCACCACTTGGTTGTATTAGCTTTCTGTATATGGCTCGTACTCTTTCAGGACAGTTTCTACATGTTATTACATGTTTCTTCGTTCTTGTTTCGTTGTTAGCACGCTCCTGCCCGCAATATTTACATCTACCAACTTCCTTCCTTCCTTCAGTGGCTTGAACTTCACTATAATGACGCCACACACTAGTTGGGGTTTGTTTTTTTTCTTACTAGGCATTGTTATGACTACTTCAAAGCCAAAGCACTAAAAAACGAATGTCTTATGCAAACACTTCCAACTTCCCCAACTCAAGAAAATAAATGAGACGCTGTTCTGTGCATTTGCTGAACTGAAAGTGAAACCAAAATTAATCACAGTTTTAGTTTTGGTTTGGCTTTCACTTGCAGTCTGAGATTAAATAAGAATTTTAGCTTTGGTTTTGATTTGACCTGCGCAGCCAATTAGGTGAATTCATAACTTGATTTTTGGTTTGGATTATTGTGAGAGTGCATTTACCCTCCTGTTTACAAATAAATAAAACATATATGTACCCTCTCACGCACTTCCTAGGGATACTCACCTGAAAAACATTAAATTACAACTTTGAAACTGCCATGCTTGCCTAATATTGTATTGGCATCCATTCATTGTTACTAATGAATTTTATGAACCAATGAATTTTTAGAAACGGAAAATTTCCCATGGAAAAATAAAAGCACCCCGAGGCACTCCTTGATACTGGCTGCCAACTAGACATCAAACCATTGATTACTACCCTCTGTGCCCAGTGATCCAACCAGTTTTCTATCCACCTTACATCCATTCATCCAACCAACCCATACTTCCTTAGTTTGCTTGTGAGAATGTTGTGGGAGACTGTATCAAGAGCCTTGCTAAAGTCAGGGTATAATCACAGCCACTGATCTCCCCGCATCCACAGAGCCAGCAAAACAAACTACCCAGGACACCCGAGTACACGCACACCAACATTATTTCACTCCGTGTAATAAACAGTAGTTTTGTTTGTTCAAATAAAGTTTGTGCAGTTGCACATTTATCATAGTGAAACAGAAATAGAATAGTTGCACTTTGAACCTTGTGCACTACATACCTGTGCCTTGTATAGTAGATGCCCATGTAAGTACATGTAGTCACTCACTTTTATGAGCAACAAATTCACTGGCAAAACAAACTACCCAGAATAGTTGAGTACACTCACGTGATTCATGTAAATAGACCCTTTTCCTTTAGCTTATTTTTTTAAGTTATTTCTTTCCCTCGATGATGTGGCTGGCTCACATTCTACTCGGTGAAAATATGGTTTTAAATACAGTTGGATTTATTCTAGTGTCCTGCTAACTCTGTAGTTTTTGTCCACTTACGTTCAAAATGCCCGATTTTTTTCAAAGCTTCTGGAAAACCTTTTCCTGTGAGCACTTAATCTAAACGGAACTTCAGCTATACAGCTGTCCATTAGTTTGTCACCAATAGTTCTTGAAAGTTTTTTAAATTCCTTTGCAATTACTTTATTTAATTCTAACACAATTTATACCAGGTTATCATGGTACTTCTCTTGCAACTCAGTGGTTAGTCTGTTTTGGTGGCAGCAGGGACTTCTTTTTGAATAGCCCAAACATCCACAAATCATGGAAGTTAGTTTTATACCAGGTTATCATGGTACTTCTCTTGCAACTCAGTGGTTAGTCTGTTTTGGTGGCAGCAGGGACTTCTTTTTGAATAGCCCAAACTTTTTGGGTGGCCAACTAGCTTAGAGACCGCACCCAGAGAAATTTGCTCAGTGGTATATAATTGGCAGTATTCAGGTGATGCATCCTCCTTGACTAAGTCATCGCCCTCATAAGAGCATGTGATGTAAAAGACATTCATATCGCATATTGTCAGACGAGACGGCGAGTGCTAAACCAATCATTTCTTAGTGAGATCAATCCTATTCATAAGGGTTGTGTTTAGAGGTGCACCAATACATCGGTCCAATATTGGATCAGCACCGATATAAAGAAAATTGACTGCATCGGAAATCGGCCTAATGTGGCTGATAATGTGCCGCCCCACATCTCTGCTGGCAACATTCCTAACAATGCAGCCCAGTATGCGATTAGCCTTCTTGGTAACAAGAGCACACTGTTGGCTCTTATTCAGCCTATTATCCACTGTAACCCCCAAGTTCTTTCCTGCAGAGCTGATGCCCAGCTAGTCGGCCCCCAGACTGGTTCATGGGATTGTTCCATCCTAAGTGCACAACTTTGCACTTGTCCTTGTTGAACTTCATGAGATTTCTTTTGGTCCTATCCTCCAATTTGTCAAGGTCTCTCTGAATCCTAGCCTTACCCTCCAACATGTCTACTACCCCCCCCCACTCCTTGATGTCATAAGCAAACTTGCTGAGGGTGCACTCTATGCCACCTTCCAGATCATTGATGGAAATATTGAACAGAACTGGCCCCAGAGTGAGCAAAACCAGCCCTCTAGATGCCTACAGTCTTCAACAAATGTTAACATTATGGTGTTACTGTAGATACACAGGAAGTTTCAGAGTAAAGAGCAAATGAGATAAAGTCTAGACATAAAAGCATGTCTGGTAGTATGATAGTGTTCTGTTGAAATGAAAACAAGAGCTTAACACAACACTGTTCAAGTTTTTGGTATGACAGAAGGTTATTAAGAAAAATTCAGACATAAACACTTTGCATTTTGCTCATTTTTCAAACTGAAACGTAACATCACAACAGTCTGGACATTATTTTAACATATGGCCAGCATGATATGTAAATACCATCTAAGTAAAAGGCTTTCATATAAAGGAAAGTAAGGTTCAGAAGTACAGTACTGTATCTACTTAAATCTAATACAACCATGGATTTAAGTTGACCCCCACCAATTAGATTCTATACATACAAAAATTATAATATTTGTTATAATTTTCCATGTATAGAATCTAATTATTGGAGAGTCATCTTTAATCCATCAGTCCCACCGCTACAGGGAGACAAGTGGTACAGAGGTATAGGAAGGTGGAGTAGCCTGCCCCCTGCTTGTGCCTACCACTCTGCCACTTCTGTCCTGCCCTTCACAGCCTCTGCTCCCCCACTTCCCTCACTGCCTCTGCTTCCCACCAGTAGACTCCGTCCCTGTTCTAGCTTGGGGCACTGAGCATGGCCCCAGTCCAGCCCCTGTGCGGGATGCACGCCACTGTTGTAGGCTGGGCTGGGGCTGTGCTCAGTGGCCCCAACTGCGGCATGCATGGAACCTGCTGGCACAGAGTAAAGGTAAGGGCAGGGGGGGAAGGAAGAGGGGCAGACAGGGGAGTAGAGGCTGTATGGGGGAGGGAAATAGCAGGGTACAGACAGCAGGGAGAGAGGTGGAAGCAGGCAGCAACTGCGGCTATGGCCCCAAGCCCAAGGTAGGGGCTGGAGCCTGAGCAACAGCAGCTGCCTTCCCCCACTATTGTCCTCATATTCGATTTTAAAACAAGTCTTCCCTCTCTCCCCCATGTTAAATGGAGGGGAAACCAGTATTTATTCTATTCTCATAAAAAGAGGAGATATGGAGCAAAATGCACACAAAATTTAATATTATGGTGACTTTGTTTTTAATGTGGTCATATAATTGTGTTTACGCAGAAGACTGATGCATCTTACCTTAATAAAATATTCAAACAGTGGTTTATATTTCTTGCCTTTAAGAGCCACACCAGGAAACCTACAGAGAAAGATGCACGTGTTAATATTAATAACCTTTAAGTTGCACTAGGTAACTTGTAAAGATTAAACTCAAGAAGACTGTTCATTTTGCATTAGTTTTCATACCAGAATCCAAGTTTCTCCAGGGACAAATCTCCCATTCCTATACTTAAATCAAGAGCTCAAAAAAGGACTAACTGGCAGCCCACATGTGACCCATAAGAGTTAAGTTAACCTGTGGCCCAAGTTTCCAATTCAGTCACCATTCTGTCCATTGCTCTTGTAACTACAAGTGCCCAGGTTCTCTAGGCTCCTCTCCCTACCTTGGACTTCTGGTTCCTGTGCCTGCTCCTGTGGACAGGGCAGTGGAATGGGAGGGGACCAGCCTACCATTGCTGTACACAGTGGTGTGGATGGTACCAGGCTGCTCCCTCTAATCAATATTTTCATTAATCTCTGATGAGTGTAGAGAGACAAATTTAATATGAACCCCCCCCCAATAATTGGATTGTATATATTGAAAATTATAACAAATTTGTAATTTTCCATGTACAGAATATAATCATTGGGGATATTTTCTTAAACTCAAAGTTGACATGGATTCAGATCAATACAATACATTTTTATTAAAAAAATGGGAGTTAAAAAATAAAAGTCTCACATTAATTCATGTACTTGCCTATCAAGGATCTTGTATTCATTTTCAGATTTGTATAGTGCCACCAGTCTGGCTTCCATCAAAATAAAAATCTTCCCTGTGGCATTATCTAACAAAAGAAAAACTTCAGTGAATAACAGTTTTTCATCGTTACAAAAAGTGGCATTTTAAACAAGAACATACCACATTCAGTCTAAAACTGCCCAGAGTAGCCTTGCTTACTAGACTCACATTTTCCATTTTTTTCTTCCAGAAGAGAGATTTACATACATTGGCAAAAATGATTTCCAAAGAGCTAAAATTAGAAATGCTGTTATGCTACCTTTTATCAGACTTTGTCTTTAAATATCAGGACTGCCTTAACAAATAAGTGAGTTTCCTAACCATATTTCTGTTATGGTAAAAGGCAACTGAACAGTGGCAGCATGAACAGTTAAGTCAGAGGGCAAACCAGTTAAGAGAAGTCAAACTAAAAACTGTAACAGTTAGTGGATCAGTACTTAATGCCACGAGTATGGACAGATGACAAAACCATACCAACTGAAAAGGGGGATACAGGGCACTTGCTGTATTTAAAGCGATGTCATTATAAACATTTAGTGTCTGCATTCTATCCTGCAGTAAATGGGCATTAAAATTGCAATAAGTTTGTTTCATTATGGTGCAAGCTGCCTCAGATGCAGATGCATGAAGCAGCTGACACACATAAGCAGGAAGTTCCACTCCCTTCCCCATTCCTTTAAAGGGACAAAACTATTTTATCTGTTCATGCCCAACATAATGTCCATTATGCTGCATTTTGAAGATTTATTTTAAATGGTAAACTACTCTTAGCCACTTTACTCTTGTATCTAAAAAAAGGGAAGCAAACAGGAAACGTTATCCTAACCTAACCTCCATATACTTGCTTTAAAAATATTTTCACTATCAGAAGAGATTGTTGGTTTTCCAGCTTGCATGATTGTAGACCAGTGTTTCTCAATCAGAGTGCCAGGAAACCCAGAGGTACCAGTACTTGCGAGGAGATTAGCAGATAGGTACCTACTCTGGCTCAGCCCATGCCTAGATGTTCCTTGCTCCCACTGCCCGGCCTTCTGCAAGAAGGTAAGCGCTATAGGGTTGGAAAGCCGATCAACTGACAAGTCAAATATTGGCAACTGATTGCATATTTTTGACTCGCCAAAGATTATAGCAATTTTACAAAAAAAACACCAAGGAAGACACAACTTTTTTTGTAGTTTTCTTAACAGGAATATGATTTTTATTGTTTTTTAACACATTTCTTAATGGAAAATTTGTGCTTTTTCAGTGTATTATTTGAATCAATTGGCAATTTTTTTACAATTTTTGACCAATCACTTGACTGACTTTTATTTGACCAGTCAAATATGCAACCCTAAAGCACTGTAATAAATTTGTTTTTGCAGAGGGGTGCCACTCAGTTCACAAAAGTTACAGAGGGGTACCTCAAATCTATTAAGGGCTACCTTGAGTCTGAAGCAGTTGAGAGCTATTCCTGTAGACAAACCATCAGCTTGTCAGTACCCTCACCCAATTATGCAAAGTTACCATATCTGAGACCAGATAATTACCACTAACCAGTTATGAAGATTTCATACAGTTATTTTTAGTATAAACAACAGCATTACTTTCTTATACAACACTTTTCATCCACATGTCATACTCAGAGGTTGGTGGTGGACGGGTCATATTCAACCTGGGGGGAAGTGGGCAGCGGAGTCCCCCAGGGCTCGGTACTGTTCAATTTCTTTATCAGCGATTTGGACGACAGGGTGAAAAGCAACCTGTTCAAATTTGCTGATGATACCAATATTTGGGGTGAGGTGGGCACGTTAGCAGGGAGGAAAAGACTGCAGCAAGACCTGGATAGGTTGCAGGGGTGGGCTAACAAAAACAGGATGCATTTCAACATGGACAAGTGCAGGGTGCTGCACTTGGGCAGTAGTAACCAGCAGCACACTTATAAGATGGGAAACTCCCTTCTTGAGAGCACGTAGGCAGAAAGGGATCTTGGATCATCACTGACTCCAAGATGAACATGGGCTGACAATGCGAGGTCACAGTCGGCAGGGCTAACCGGAACCTATCGTGCATCCACACGTGCATCTCAAGTAAGGCCAAGGAGATGATCCTCCCCCTCCACGCAACACTGGTCAGGCCACAGCTGGAGTACTGTGTCCAGTTCTGGGCACCCCACTTCAAGAGGGATGTGGACAACACAGAGGGTCCAGAGGAGGGCCACCCACATGATCCAGGGACAGCAAGGCAGACCCTACAATGAGAGGCTACGGGACCTGAACCTGTTCAGCCTTCACAAGAGAAGGCTGAGGGGGGACCTGGTGACTGTCTATAAACTCACTAGGGGGGACCAGAAGCATTTGGGGGAGACCTTGTTTCCCCTAGCACCCCCCGAGATAACAAGGAATAACGGCCACAAGTTGTTGGAGAGTAGGTTTAGATTAGACATCCGTAAGAACTACTTCACAGTTAGGGCGGCTAGGATCTGGAACCAACTTCCAAGGGAAGTGGTGCTGGCTCCTACCCTGGGGGTCTTTAAGAAGCAACTTGATGCCTACTTGGCTGGGGTCATTTGAGCCCAGTTTTCCTCCTGCCCAGACAGGGGGTCGGACTTGAAGATCTACAAGGTCCCTTCCAACCCTACTTCTATGATTCCATGTCAATTCTAATATTATAAAAGCCTAAGTCTGTCTATCTGTAATGCTTTACTCACGCTCTAACTGGCTGATGGAAACAGTCAGAGTGCTCCAAGTGTCGGGGAGCGCTGCCATGATTCTGAAGTTGCACCAAGGACCAGACAGCGGGTGGGGGAGCTGAGGCCAGTGCTCCTGACCTCAGCTCCCCCACCCCGCTCCCTGCAAGAGGCAGAACAGCAGCAGCATGGGGCATTATGTGGCAGCACTCCATCCCAGCCCCCTCCCCACCCCATGTCATTCTTGACAGGCAATTAGCTAGTACTTTATAAAGGCAGACAAATAGAGATAACCAAGAGATGGCCCAAGTCTGCACAACTGTTCTACTAACAACAATCCCAAATACATCCATACCCCGAAACACACCCCGCACTTTTTGCCTGCCATTGTACCCTCAATGGCTGGTGCCTTACAGGGCACATTTTGGGCTCCTGCAAGAGAACTGCTAAGTAGAGCAGTGCAGATCCATGAGAAGCTGCCAAACTCCTGAAAGTCAAATAGGGTAAATATGAAACAAGGCCACAGAAAAGCTAAATGTGGCCTTGCTTTTGTTTTATATATCTATATAATATAAAAATTCACACTAAAGAGCAGCAGCAGAGCCAGGAACAAAAAACAAGTTTTGTGACTCCAGCATACTAAGTCTCACCTTCTTTTAGTTAAAATTTCTAAGACCTCTTCTGATCAAGTCCTTAAAGTCCTAAACCGAGAGAAAGAAGCAAGCATCTTTTCTCAAAGCCTGAAGTGTTTTGCCACTATGGCAGAGGCAACTGCCGACTTCTGCCTTAGGTACTTTAGGAACAGTTTGAGAACAATTCTGTAATAAAACATTTTATTTTCATATTACGCATTCACTTTAGGGATTTAGGTAGTAGAGTCACAAATTCCGATTCCTTAAAAAGATGATTCTATACAAGGACAAGTTTGCTTGACCTCCGATTATGCTGAAGAATTACTTTTAATCCATTAAATCTTTATGGTGGGTAATACATTCTTTGGGTTAAAATAATTATGTACATGAACTGTTTGAAAGGGTTACAGGCACCAACAACATAAAACATGCTTTCTCTTTGCATACTTTTATCTTAAGGGCTTAAAGGG